GCCATTCACACAACCACAACCCGTTTATAGGGCGGGTCACATTCTTACACACTCACACACAAAGGAGAAAGGACATAGAACACACAGAGAGAGAAAGAAACATCCATGCCTTGCCCGGTATTCGAACCCAGGACCTTTCTGATACAAGTACAGTTCCCTGCTCCCTACACAGGCCGGTCGGCAGCGAACTTATTTCTTTCGCTTAAATAGATCACAACTACGCATTTTCCACTGATTATTTAACGCATGCGCATCATGGATTTAGATTTTTTTTAAATTATGCTTTTTGTATTTATTTCCGATCATTTATTGATAATTATGTGTTTTATAAATGTTGCTATTGTTTGTCATTCATAATATATTTTTCAGGCTTTTCCTATTTTCTTCATTTGTTTGGCAGTAATCGCGGAACAGGAAGATGTATTTTTCCATCTCCCATTCTGTCACAATGCATGCTTGATTCCAATAAAGATCCCTGATGAAAAGTGTATTTTCTTTTTTAAAAAAGCTTTACAAGCGAAAATAAGACAAAAGATCATTCCAATTGAAGGAACCGGTGATCCTTGTGTTACAAACGTGTTCAATACATTTAAAAGATTTAAATTTTAGTATACTCCCAAGCAATTGAAAAAAGAGCACCAGTGCTTCACGATAGGTTTAAGGAAAAGCGACTAGACAAATATTTTCTTTCCCATATTAATGCTATCAAAGCTAAAATAAAATTTCATAAAACTGAAAAAAATTTGATTTTTGCATTTCCTTTTATAATTTGTAGTTCATTAAACGAAAATGACAAATATATGAAACTCTTAGTTTAGAAATTTTCTTCTACGTGGATTTTTCTACTGCACGATTTTAAATCCTAAATCCTTGTGTTGATTTTAAATCCTGCTAAAAGGTAAAATAAAGAAAATTCATTCAGGGTCAAAAATAATATTTTAATGAAAAAGAACAAAAATATTCTCAACTTCTGACAAATTCGTCAGTATAGAGGTAATTGAGGGTTTGTGTGTATTCGAAACGATATGTTTATTTAAATAAATTATCCTAATTTTATGGTGAATGTACTTTTTCTAGTAATAATTGTCAAACACTGCATTTAAATATGCTTAGCTGTTTGATTAAATTGCGAACTTGACTAGTTAATCACCATGACATTTCAAGACAAGTATTGTTAGGCAATTATTCTTTTGAAATGCTCTGTCTTTCATCAAATTATGCAACGACTGTACCGAATCATCCCACACAAATAAAAAAAATTCAAAATAAACTACTAAAAATTTTTCAAATTTGTCTCAGCAATAATTACCATGCAATATTTTGAAGTAGGTAATGAATATTTAATGAGCAATATCTTGCTTATTTCAAGATATTGAGTACGCGAATATGCGCAGTATTTTGGGCTAGGTGTCTCAATGAAAAACGAAACAGTATATTCAAATTAACTCTATTATTTGTGTCGGTATTTGTCTTAAAATTTTGTGCATAATTTTGTACTGTTGCTCAGCACAGATTTATTGATACGTTTTATTTTTCATCCCTATTTATATTTCTATTCGTTTTCATTTACGAAGACATTCGATAATAATGAATAAAATATAGTATTTATTAAAGAGTGTGTTCTTAACTTTGTTTTTGATCAAGCAGTGAACATCACTGGTATTATCTTTAAAATATTTAAGGAAAAAAATCATCCTCAGTTATATTTATAACAAGTATTATTTCTTAAAAACCAATCAGAAAATTCCTTTTTTCAAACATCTTTCTCAAATGACCGAATTGGGTTTTTAGGATCGTTGGCGGAAATTGCCCCTTTCTGCCGCTGACTTAAGTTCAGGATGACAGCATAAATGGTTCTAGAATTCTAAGAAAGGCAAACACACGAGCATCAATTCTTCTACTTGTTCGAGGCTAGCTGTATAAACAACGAAAAAAGAAAATAATCAATAAATTAGTACCGAGCAATTATACAAATTCTTGCACGAAATTGATAGGCATTTACCCACGCAATTATAAATGCTAAAATAATTAGATTGATCAAAGCAGCGTTCATTTCAACAAAATAAGAATAAACTTTATTCACTATAAGCAGGTATAATACTGTTTCTTGAAGTCAACTCGTGATAGTTAAAATTTACCAAGCAATCAAACAATTTTCTTTAGTACTTATCTCTTCAGTACTTAACTCTCTAATAAGGACTGTAAAAAACATATTTTGACAGTTCTATTAAGACATTGCACAATAATGGTGCAGGTTTAATAGGTACAAATATTCTAATATAAGTCTTAGAATCTATTATACAGGGTGTTTATAAAGTCCCGGACCCATTTTAATGTTTAATAACTCATAAAATAATAAAGATAGATTAAAATTAATAACATAAATTGTTAGATAGACTCAAAAAGCTTCATGACCCTTGTCAATGAACTTCTACGTGTGCCCCCTTCGTCGCTCGGAGAATATCAAGTCGATAGTCAATTTCACACTAGGTAGTGGCAGGCATGTCGGCATCCCCAGAGGCTATTGCGGTTGTAATTCTGACTTTTAGCTCATCAATGTTCGACACGATTTTCCTGTTAACATTGTCCTTTATAAATCCCCAAAGAAAGAAGTCCAGCGGCGTTATATCAGATGATCTGGGTGGCCAAGGAATTGAATCTCCTCGCCCAATCCATCTTCCTGGAAAATGGTCATTCAAAGAACTACGAAAGATGATACCCCAATGAGGTGGTGCACCATCTTGTTGCAAAAAGACTTGTGGCTGAAGCTCCTCTGGTTGTGGAAATACGAAGTTTTCCAACATGTCTAAGTATACGACTGATGAGACTGTCTTTTCTGTAAAAAAAAAAAGGCCCAATGACTCGGTTCGTGCATTAGTCCACACCACATATTAACCTTTGGGGAATCCCTTTGTGTCTCTCGGTATTCATGGGACTTTTTTCTTTGGGGATTTATAAAAGACAATGTTTACAGGAGGATCGTGTCGAACATTGATGACCTAAAAGCCAGAATTACAACCGCAATAGCCTCTGTGGATGCCGACATGCTTGCCGCTACCTGGCGTGAAATTGACTATCGACTTGATATTCTCCGTGCGACGAAGGGGGCACACGTGGAAGTTCATTGACAAGGTTCATGAAAGTTTTTGAGTCTATCTAACCATTTATGTTATTAATTTTAATCTATCTTTATTATTTTATGAGTTATTAAACATTAAAATGGGTCCGGGACTTTATGAACACCCTGTATTTGAAACTTATTAATACAGCAAAAAATATTATATATTCCTGCAGAGCTTATTATGTACCAAAATTAATTAAGCAAAATCGGCGTCAATATTAGTATGGCAATTTTTTGCGTGTTTCCTTAGTACTATTTCTCCTTTAGTTTATCAGTACATATTTCTTTTTCCATTTTAATTACCATTAATACAAACATGATTTTAAAGTATAACTATTAACAAAACTCGTGAAATGCTGACGTATTCTGTATATGCTACATTCAATATATCTGACATAATCGATAATTCAATATATCTGACATAACGAAAAATATTTTAAATATTAAAGAGAGGGGAATAATTCTTTTTTTACAAGCAAGCTAATATTAGCGAGATTATCCTTAAAATATTATTAAAAAAATAGAATTATCTACAGTTAAATTTATATAAATTAGTGGGCTCCACCCATCCCATGCAATTTTATGTGATTTGATTTTAAAACCATGCTTTCTTCTCTCTTTAATGAGTAAAGCCTATTTAAAATGTGCTCTAGCGTAAAATCTTAAGAATTTAAATCAATTGATAAAATTTTAGAACTAAATCCGCATTGAAAAAGAATTAGATAATAGTAAGTTACTGAAATAAAAGAAATTAAATTGAAATAAGCGACATGCAATAGAGAAACTTGTAGAAACTAAACATTAATTATGCTTTTAAGAAACCGTTACTCTTCTCTAATATAACACTTTATTTGTTAAAATGAACCTTTTTTATTTAAACTTCCAAATTTTTCCAACATAAACCTCAAATGTTTCAGCGTTTTCTTGTTCATTCGAGAAAATAATTTTCATTCAGAAATGAAATTTGTTAACAGGTAAGTTTACGTTTTCATGCTTATGACTGCTCACATGCTTGATATTTAAGTTATTTTCAGACAACGTGAAAAAATAATGAGGACTATCTTTATCACAATGTAAGATATATATATATATATATATATACTGTGAATGGCCGATATCAGGAGAATGTCGACTTTCACCGGTGAATGTCAACAATCATATAGTCGCTTTGGTGAATGTTCGAAATATTT